ATCAGCGCACGAAGTTTGACCTGCTTGTTCGCTGCTAACTGTCCGTGAGATTGACAAACGAGATTGAGATTGAAACAAGCGAGTGTCCGAAACGTCAGTCTCAATATAACTCGGTCCATGTCCTTGAACCTTCTTCTTCGTCTTCTTTGGGGGATGATGAAAACGATAAGGTATCTGGACCTCGAATCTTTGCGTATATTAGTCAGGGCCTGAAGGCGAGAAAATAATTACACCAACAAATGTACTCCCTGACTTATATGCTATTAGCTCTGACGCTTGTGTTCGTGTGCTTGTTACTTGGCGGATGCATGGCCAATTAAGTAGATGGAGCTGGTAAACTTCAACATTCACCGCCGCCGACTTCAGCAACTGCACTGCGGTGGCGAGATTAGGTTTGTCGAAAACGCTCAAGTCCACCAAGGCGTTATTTGCCCGCCGGACAGGAAAGCTCTGCAAAAGGATCTGTGCCGACTGCAAACGTCTTGCGAGAATTGGCTATTTGGTTCCAGTGTGCAAATCTGTGCCATCCTCCACCTAACTACCTTATACAACTGACAGCAACTAGGCAGGCTGATTTCGGTGTTAGGGCACGGAGCCATCTGGAGTCAGCAGTGTAATGCCTCAGCGTTGAAAATTACGCCATGAGATTATAGCACACTAGTAGAAGAACGTTTGTGGCTTCCGATAGGCATCAATTGGTTTAAGTGTACGACCTCCTTGGTCGAACTCACCTAGAATACGGCATACAGACGTAGTGGCCATGACTCCGTAAAAACAGAATATGCCACGAGAAAGTGCAAAGTCGTGCAACAAAGCAGACCTCGAGTCATCCTCGTAGACACGCGATAAAGCTGCGCACCAAAATGTCCACCCTTAGGTTTGGCAACTAATTCTTCGTGCAGAAGGTTTTAGAACAATAGAATGATTCCCAGCAATAGTCCTGGTGGCGACATTTCAGATCATACAGTACTGGGACGCAGCAACATGCTATCCTGTCCATTTTTCACCCTTCAAGGGCGAAATGGGCTAGCTTGCCGTATAGCTGGACCACTCAGTGTCAATCTCACTCCCTTCTCGCTTCTTCTCTCCCCTCGACGATTGCATTGTCTCAGTCCGTCAACCAGCTGGTGTAACCTACTGTCAGCTCAAGCTTGGCAGGTTCGTGCAAGGCACACGGTTTCCTTTGCAGATAGCGACCTAGCCTGCGATATTGGTATGGCCATACTTTTGATGACGAGGTGGAGAACACGCTCGTAATATGAAATGCTTGTCTTGCGAAACTTAGCCAACCAAGCTGTATTAGTTCACTGATTAGCTGCCCGCGACCGAGGACCAAGCCCTGAGAACAAGATTCAAGGACGGACACATAGGTGGATGCACATATATCCGATTAAGTTCATTTGCTATCAGAATGCCCTTGGACTGTGTATGGGTGAAGCGGGTCCCACGAACGTATGTGACCATCTAGCACCAGTATCCCTGTCCAACATCACGATTCTGCATGTTGTGTTGGACTCACTGATATCTTTAATCCATTTTTTCATATCTTGTAAATCAAGTAGGAATTCTTACTTCCGAAGGTTACCATTCAGCTTTTCAATAAAACCACGTTCGTGGTACTCCTATATTTGATGTGTTGTCATGTATGGTCCGTCTGCATATCGTGTCTTATCTCTAGCAAAAAAATCGCTACCATTGAGTTTAAAGGCGATTAGATCCGATAGAGCAAAGGGGAGTACGGAATGGCCATTTCTGGGTTGTTAGCCGTCATCAGCCAGCCGTACCCAATCTCAAAGTTTGGAGCCCAGATATTCGAACCCATTTCCAAAAAAATGAAAGTCAATCACACCCTATTGATGGCGGGATCAAACGTTTTTATATGATTCTTTGGAAACAGAATACCACATTGTAGATTAACTATTGACCATCAAAGAATGGCTGACATATTCTCTAGCCAGGTTTCTTAAAATCGTAATCGCCATCACCGTCAGCGGTGCATCTTCACCTCCCGACCATAAGTCCAAGCTTCTTGGCGCCTGTTTCGATCCGCTCTTCACGTTCCCATGCCATGCCAGGGAAATTAGCCTAGGGAGCGATCACCTTCCCATAGTGCTCGAATTGGCCACCTCTGCCGTATCAAGACTCTAAACAGGCACTTTACCAACTTTAAGAGAGCTGACTGGGCAGCGTTTACCGCCGAATGCGAAGCTAGAACCGATCTGCTACCGCTCCCCACCTGTGTCCACACGGCGGAGCGGGCCGTTCGT